ACTTCAAAGTTTAGGCTTTCATATGCATTCAAAACATCACCCCATTCCCATGGGGCCTCCCTGGTGGCCCAAGGGGTTAAAGCTTCAGCACTATGAAGCAATCCCCAGCTACAGGAGCAGGAGTTCAATCCCCAGCCAGGGAGGTGACCCACATGGCGCAGCAGACCTCTCCTGTTGTGCCCACTCTTCCCCTCAGCAGTGTATTTCAGTCAGTCCACCTGTTCCGCTCCCCGCTCTGTCTCTGGTGAATCCTTTCACCCCCCAGCACCTCTGGCCTATACCCCAGTCCTTGTGTGCATAAATAAATAAGCCATTTAAAAAACAAAAACAAAAACAAAAAACACCACCCCCTCCCTCCCCTTACAAGGCCATGCGGTGACCTGGCTCAGGCTCAAACCTTGCAGCCCACAGGCCCCCTTTTTCTCTTCCTTACATGCACTACACCACTTCCTGCCCCAAGAACTCAGCACAAGCTTCTTGTACTGACAATTCTTCCCAAGCTCTTAGCCCAGGTGGTCGCTTCTCATTTTTTATGTGCAGCTTAAAATAATTTTCTTGGGGCACCTCCCCATTCAATGTAAAATCTCCACATCATTATGCTCTCACCCCTATTTCTTTTGCATCTTAGCATATATTACAATGTGTAAGTATCACCTATTTGACTGTGCCCAGAACCTGTCTCCAAACCCAACTGTTGCTTTGTTTGGTCATCAGTGTCTAGAACTTGACCCACAAAAAAAGCACAAGATTTATTTGTTGAATAAATGAATGAAGAGAAACTAGGGCTGGCCAACTGGCTAGTGTTATTCAACAGAAAAGTGGTGACATTTCATTTGATCTAATGAACCCAATAATATATTATCTCCTCAGACATCAGATAAGGATGAAAATTCCAATTCAAAACCCTGAATTCAGCACTATCCTGATTATTATTTTCAGCTGCATGGGAAATAGGACAGAATAAATTTAAAAAATGAAATAAAATAAATAAACCATAGGGATCATGCACATAAGTTGGGACAGATAAAGATTTCATAAAGGGAGAGACTCGAATTGACCTTGAAGTAATGCAGGTTTGCAGGCAGGGAAGGAAAAACATCACATATAGGGCCATAAAGAGCAAATGGATGAAGGAAGGGAAAAGAAAAGCTTCCAGAGGAGCAGATGCTGTCATCTGAGCTCTGTGACCTGCCTTCAAGGAGGCAGTGAGAGCAATTTTCTAAGGAAGACCATTGAGACTTTTGGATTTTGATTTTTAATACCAGAATATGTTAAAAGTAACAGAATAGTCTTTGTGTTTCAAAAACCAATTTAAAAATGCAAATGTACACTTTATATTCTTGGCCAAGAATTTTTCTTCTTAGATTTTAACTCAAAGAGAAAAAGTTGAATGTTCAAATGAAAGGGATAAGAACCCAAGGGAGAAAAATGAACAACCCTGGGTGGACACACGGAAGAGACTTCGCCACATGCAGTGGGGTAAAGCAGGTCCAAAACGTGACTAAGAAAAAGCGCTGGGAAAATGCCGATGAGATCAATTTGCTTTGTGGGGACGGGTTGTGCAGAGGCCTCTGAAGACACGGAGGCTACTCAATCTGTCACAGGGTAACTTCGAAGCATAAATAGATAATTTCAAGTAAACAATCTTAGCTAAAAAGTAGTTAACTCACTTTCAAATAAACACAATTGTCCCATTTCTAGTTTAGAAACACTGCAGGAATGTAAAAGGAAAAACTGTGTCTCTTCACCCAAATCAGTATGAATTCATCTTGTTTATGCACAACTTTTTAAAGGGCTTTAATTCTCACTAATCTTTCTTCATTTTTAAATGCATCCTTTCTCCCAGGGACCTCAGCCTCTGGAACAGTGCTTTGGGGAGCAGAGGTGCCAGCAACATCTCATTCTATTTTGAGCTCAGGGAGGAACAATGTAATACAAGTAAGAACAGGGAAAAGTAAATAAATGAAATGTCTACTGCAATATATTTAGGCATACCTAGCACTGTGTCTTAAATGAACCAGTAATTAGGCTAAACACTCCACTCTAAATAAATCCACCTGAAGGAGCTGAGAAACCTGGATGGCACCCATGCGCACAAGTATCTGTCCATATAGATGCTACACCCGGTGTCTACAGGCTTCTTTGCTAAGGCAATGAAGACTGAGGATGAACAAAACGGGAACAAATGACTGTTTGACATGGAAGATGATCTCATACAAGTGTTTTACAGGTGATAAAGGCATTAATTATTTGAAATCATAATTACCTAGGACTGTAAGCAAAACACTCATTTTTTCTTAAATGAAGAGGACCACCAGGATCTCAGAAATTCATTATACAAAGTTCCCATCCCTTTGAGCCATAGAACTCTCATATGTGTTAAGGGCTATATTGCTGAATCCCACAAAGAATTGTCTTTCAACTTCAGATATTAGTACTTGCTGCTGAGGTTTGTTTTTCTCTTTAAGGTGTTTATTTCCTTTTTAATTTTAATAATGATTTGCATAAATCACTGAAAATCTTCTAGTTCCTGTAGAACAATTGTATCACCTCATCTTCCATGTCAAATAGTCATTTGTTTCTGTTTTATTCATCTCAGGCTTCTTCAGTTCCCTGCAGAAACCTCAAGCTGATTTCAGGAATATAGAATACTCTGCATTGCTGCCGACCAGGGCTGTCGCCAGGGTCTGACTCGCAAGGGCCAATGCTGGGGAGAAGGCTCTGGAAACTAGAAGGAGCCACACAGAGAAAAGGTGTGAGTGTCATGGGCTTAGGAGCTACCTAGTTTTATCAATTAAACCACTTAATAAAAACCATGAACAAAGTGAAATGTCGGTAGTGGACTGACAGAATCAACATGTGTTTCCTCAGGGCAAGGAAGGGCAAATGCCACCAGGAAAGAATGAGTTCGGTCTGCAGAAACATGAGGTTTGTGGTTCAAGTCAAACTCTCTCAGATGTTACCAGTTTCATAGTTATAGGGGGAGCTGAGCAATTACCCCCCAGCAGAGCACTGCAGCCATGACCCACTCTTGGGAAGGTGCAGGAGTTTGGGGCTATGGATGTTTCAGCATAAAATTACAGCCCTACCACTCTACAGTGTAATCACCCGGGTCAGCGAGCTTGGAGAACACTGTTCTATTGAGAGTGTGAAACAACAGAAGGAACATGAATCCTTCTGAGGGAGGAATCAAGGAGTTCTGGTGGGGACCCCAGTGATCAAGAAGCCCTGGGGGCAGTGGAGAGCTGAGCTAAATTCTTGTGTGGCTTTTTGCATAATGTATGTACCGTAGGTCAGAGTTCCCCAACTCCAGCAAATTGTCCTTTAAGCCAAAAGAAACAAACAAAATATTCCAGGCTGTGTGTTCTCAGAGTCTAAAGTAATGAACCAAAACCAGCTAAAAGGAAGTCAAATCTGTTCTGGGAAGGACAGCCCCTCTGACTTTGAAAGCAATGCCAACAATGACCTCAGGCAGAAGAGAGATCAAGCCATCAGTTTCCTTGTGGAACTCCCTTCTGGAATTGTCTGGAGCCGAGATATTTAAGAACAACTGCCAACTGCCAACTTTTCCTAGGGTGGATACCCCAGGACTTGAGTCTGAGCACCTCACTAAAAACTTACATTTCTTGTAAAGTCCCCAATTATGGTTTGAGGGTGTTCAGGATAGTTTCCTAAGACAGCTATTAGCAGATAATTCTCTGAGGGGACCCAGCACTGTCATTACCAGAGAAAATTGTGAAGGTGAAGTTTAATCATCCATGATTGGGGAATAGCTGTTTGATAAAGGTCATTTATGGGGAACCAGGGTAAAGATAGGAAAGATAGGACCTCCCCGGTTGCGCAGCGGTTGAGCACTAGGCTGCGAAGCTGCCCGCAGCCTCTGCAGCGCCGGCTCAATCCCCGGCCACGGGCGAGGGTCCCACATGGCGCACAGACCTCTCCTGCCGCCGCCCGCTGCTCCCCTCCGCAGTGTACTTCAATCCTTCTGCCTGTTCTCTTCCCCACTCTGGCTCTGGTGAATTCTCTCACCCTCCCGCGCTTCTGATGGTACCCAGTGCTTGTATAAATAAATAAATGAATGAATGAATGAATGAATGAAAATTAATTAATTAAATCTTTATTAAAAAAATCTATAAAAAAAGATAGGAAAGATAATAAAACCCAGAAATGAAGACAAAAAAGGCAGCTATCACCTTCCATTAATTATAAACCTATCAAAAATGAGGAAAGTCTTTACAAACAGACTTTCCACTCGATACCCAATTTCAGGTCATATGGGGTGGAAACACAATTTTTTGTTGACCACCAAGCAAGTAAAAGACATTCTAAAGGCTTCTCTTATTTTGTTTGCCTAGAGTTACTCAGTTTAACGAGTAATTTTGGTTTCCAAAGCTTACGTCATTATTTTTTTTGCACCCCTCAATATAGTAAAATTAAATGCTGCAGGATATATCATTTTTAAATTAAAATAAAATTTTATTTTGTATTAGGGTTACTTCATTAAAAAAAACAGTTTCCTTTTGTTAAAGATTTATTTACTCATGCGTACAAGAACCGGGGTACAGGCCAGATGCACGGGAGGATGAGAGGATTCACCAGAGCCAGAGCGGGGAACAGAACAGGCAGACTGACTGAAATACACTGCTGAGGGGAGCAGAGGGCGAGACAGGAGAGGTCTGCCGCGTCATGTGGGATTCTCGCCAGCCGGGCAGGATCAAACCTTCTTTCCAGAGGCTGCGGACAGCATCACAGTGCTGCGCTCAACCACCTGCGCCACCAGGGGAGGCCCGGGTTACTTCATTTTGATTCTCAAAACATAGTCAACAGATTAAAACACAGAACTGTGGAAACCTACAAGTGCATGCTTATAAGTTTTATACCATGGCATCAGATAAAAATCATACAGAGGAAAAGCTCATTTTCAGGGCTCTATGTTTTTGTCTTTGACTCTCAAAAGCACAAAAATGTGAGCTTAGCTGAAAACAATTACAGGTACTTACTGATTCCTTGAAAGAGCTCTTCAATGTTAATAGCATTTTTTGCACTTGTTTCAACCACCACGGCACCTATGGACTCAGCATATTCCTTAGCATCCTTCAAGGGAACCTCCCTGCAAAAGAGGTCAAACCCACGCAGAAATGAATGGTGGTTTGTAAAATATAAATAACCCCAAAACAGACTCACCCCCCCCAAAAAAAGCTCATGTAGAAATATCTCCTTTATTTTCCTGTAGAAAAAAAACAACTTTTTCACTCAGCGAATACTAAAAACCTACCATGGGTGAGACTTTTCAAAGTGCAAACCCTGGTCCTCTGGCATCAATAGATACAAGACATGCACGTGGAAGAGAATGTCCCAGTTCCACAGAAAGAAAGATTTTTCAGAACAGTGGGAAAAGTCATTTTGAGTATGATAATACACATTCCAGCTTTCAAAGTTAGGGTTGATTTCACTTTTTTCCCCACATTCAAAATTGTGTGTGCATGTGCATGCTTTTTAAAGACTGTCATGTATCGTCTTCACAAATCACAGAAAATATGTGACATGGCTTAAAGTTTGGAAATGAACCTGGTGGTAGCTTACAATGGCTATGATTCCATGCTGCATATCTGGTCTATCACTTTTATTTATTTTTTAATTTTATTTATTTATTTATTTTTTTATTTTAAGATTTTTTTATTTATTTATACAACCGCTCAACTCCTTCGCCACCGGGGAGGCCCTGGACTATCACTTTTAAAAGGATGTTCCTGCAATGACTCTGGGACATGAATTCTATTAAAAGGAATAATTTCTAAAGACATTTATTAACCAATTTTAAATTAAAAAATTGTGGAGGATATATTAAAAAAAAAAAAAAAGACACCATTCCTCTCTCCAGAAGTGTATTAATTCACTCAACAAATACTTATTGAGCAGCAACTGCATTCCTGTCCTTGTAGGTGCTGGAGAAAATGCTGTCCCTGTCTTTGGAATCTACATTTGAGAGCACAGATGAATAAAGCCACAATCCCCTAACCCACGACACTGTAACGTCAGCAATATGTGGGGAACAAAGGCAGCGATAAAGTGCTCAGGAACAGAGAAGGGTAGAAAGTGATGCATTTGATGACGGGAAGATCCTGGAAATGTCAGCTGAAGTGTGGCAGGAAGCTGGCCCTCACCCCCACCTATGATTGGGTCAGTTCTACACACAACAGTCTTGGGTGTGATTCGGACATGCAAGTGAATGATATGGTGTCTGAATAGGGAGGAGGTCAGAGACCAGTTGAGAGCAGGAGGAATGAGTGGAACATGGTGAGTGAGCAGGATGGCACCCAGTGGCTGTAGAGCACCAGTGGCTCTAGGAAAACAGTTCACAAAATGAGTTAGAATGGCAGAGCAAGGAGAAGAATTTGGCAGCTCCTCTAGTGCTGTAGGCAGGAGATAACACAAAGCAGGCTAGAAGGAAAGCTAGAGGAAGAGAAAAGGTGGTGGCCAGAAAATCAAAAGTTGGGGGGAGGGGGAAAGCTGTATCCACCTCCCACCACCTTGCCTCTACACCCCTCTCCAGCTGAAACCTCATAAATGGTATAAAGCTACTAGGAAAATTCTATTTTGGCAAATTAATGCGCTCATGAAAAAGGACCTGACTGGAGTCTACTATTACACCACTATAATATATTATCATAATGTATTATTATAATATACCATTATAATATATTAAGGATGATTATCACAGGATCGTACCAGAGAATAAGCCTCCTGAGTCATGTCAGTTGAAAGCTGTACTTCACAATTTTTCTTAATAAAGAAAAGAAATAGAAGAAATAAAAGAAATAAAAATAAAAATAAAACAATAAAATAAAAAATAAAAAAAAAAAAAATAAAATAAATTTTTCTTAATAAATTTTTCTTAATAATTAATAATAAATTTTTCTTAATAGAAGAAATAAAAGAAATAAAAATAAAAATAAAAATAAAAATAAAAAAATAAAATAAAAAATAAAATAAAAAATAAAATAAAAAATAAAATAAAAAATAAAAAAAAAAATAAAAGAAATAAAAGAAATAGAAGAAATAAAAGAAATAGAAGAAAAGAAATAATAAAAACCAAAGCAGAAATAAATGAAATTGAAACTAAAAAAACCAATCCAAAAGATCAATGAAACCAAGAGCTGGTTCTTTGAAAAAAATCAATAAAATAGACAAACCCCTAGCCAGGCTCACAAAGGAAAAAAGGGAGAAAGCACAAATAAACAGGATCATCAATGAAAGAGGAGAAATCACAACGGACACAGCAGAAATCAAAAGAATAATCAGTAACTACTATGAACAGTTATATGGAAACAAGTTTAACAATCTAGAGGAGATGGACAAATTCCTACAACTCTACAATCACCCAAAGCTAGATAAAGAAGAAATAGAACACCTAAACAGACCAATTACAATTAGCGAAATTGAAATGGTAATCAAAAACCTCCCAAAAACAAAAGCCCAGGACCTGATGGATTTACAAATGAATTCTACCAAACATTCAGAGACGAATTAGTGCCTATCCTTCACAAACTCTTCCAAAAAATTGAGAAGGAAGGGACAATACCAAACACATTCTATGAAGCCAACATTACACTAATACCAAAACCGAACAAGGACAACACAAAAAAGGAAAACTACAGGCCAATCTCCCTAATGAACACTGATGCAAAAATCCTCAATAAAATTTTAGCTATCAGAATCCAACAATGTATCCATAAGATAATTCACCACGACCAAGTTGGATTCATTCCAGGGGCACAAGGATGGTTTAACATCCGAAAATCAATCAACGTTATCCAACACATCAACAAAAAGAAATATAAAAACCATATGATAATATCAATAGATGCTGAGAAAGCTTTCGACAAAGTGCAACACCCATTCATGATAAAAGCCCTTGAAGTTCTTGGGATACAAGGAACATACCTCAACATCATAAAGGCCATCTATGACAAGCCAACAGCCAGTATCATTCTCAATGGTGAAAAGCTGAAAGCAATTCCATTAAGATCTGGAACAAGACAAGGATGTCCACTCTCACCATTGCTTTTCAATATAATACTGGAAGTCCTAGCCAGGGCAATAAGACAAGAGAAAGACATCCAAGGAATCCAAATAGGAAAAGAAGAAGTCAAACTATCACTATTTGCAGACGATATGATATTATACATAGAGAACCCCAAAAACTCCACAGAAAAGCTAATTCAACTCATCAATCAGTTCAGTAAAGTGGCAGGATACAAAATCAACACGCAAAAGTCAGTAGCCTTCCTATACACAAACAATAAATCTGAAGAAGAAGAAATCGAAAAGACCATCCCTTTTGTTATTGAAACAAAAAAAATCAAATATTTGGGAATAAATCTAACAAAAGAGGTAAAGGACCTATACAAAGAAAACTATAAAACACTGTTAAAAGAAATAGAAGAAGACACAAAGAAATGGAGAGACATCCCCTGCTCATGGATTGGAAGAATAAACATTATTAAAATGGCCATCCTTCCAAAAGCAATATACAGATTCAATGCTATTCCAATCAAAATTTCAATGTCATTCTTCAAAGAAATAGAAAAATTATTGATGAAATTCATATGGAATCACAAAAAACCCCGAATAGCCAAAGCTCTCCTGAAAAAAAAAGAAGGGAATGGAGGCATCAGACTCCCAGACTTCAAACTATACTACAAAGCCATAATCATCAAAACTGCATGGTATTGGAACAAGAACAGACATACAGACCAATGGAATCGAATAGAAAATCCAGAAATAAACCCACAGATTTATGGTCAACTAATCTTTGACAAAGGAGCAAAGACTATGCATTGGAGCAAAGAAAGTTTGTTCAATAAATGGTGCTGGGAAAACTGGGTCGCTACATGCAAAAGAATGAAGCTTGACCACCACCTCACACCATACACAAAAATCAACTCAAAATGGATTAAAGAACTAGACATAAGACCTGAAACCATAAAATATATAGAAGGAAATATAGGCGAAACACTACGTGATTTGCACATCAAAGACATCTTTACAGACACATCACCCAAAGCAGTGATAGTGAAGGCAAAGATAAACAGCTGGGACTATATCAAATTAAAGAGCTTTTGCACAGCAAAAGAGACAATAACAAAACAAAGAGAAACCCCACCAACTGGGAGAACATTTTTGCACCCAACACTAATGATAAAGGACTGATCACAAAAATCTGCAAAGAGCTGATGAGACTCAACAACAACAAAGAAAAGAATCCAGTCAAAAAATGGGCAGAAGAGCTTAAAAGAAACTTCTCTGAAGAGGAAATGCAAATGGCCAACAGGCATATGAAAAAATGTTCAACATCACTTGTCATCAGGGAAATGCAAATCAAAACTACCATGAGATACCATCTTACACCAGTGAGAATGGCACATATTAAAAAAACTAGCAACAACAAATGTTGGCGAGGGTGTGGAGAAAAAGGAACTCTTCTGCACTGTTGGTGGGAGTGCAAACTGGTCCAACCACTGTGGAAAGCTGTGTGGAGATTTCTGGACCTACTAAACATAGAGCTTCCATATGACCCAGCAATTCCACTCCTAGGTATTTACCCAAAGGACACAGAACATCAATTCCAAAGAACACCTGCACCCTATGTTTATAGCAGCACTGTTTACAATAGCTAAGCTTTGGAAACAACCCAAATGCCCAAAAATAGATGACTGGATCAAGAAGATGTGGTACATATATACCATGGAATATTACTCAGCATTCAAAAAAGATAAACACATGCAATTTGCTGCAACATGGATGGCGCTGGAAGGGATCATGCTCAGCGAAATAAGCCAAAAAGAAAAAGAAAAATACCGGATGGTCTCACTCATAGCAGGAATCTAGAAAACTTAAATAATGGACCAGGAAAATGAAAAACTATAAGAAAGTGAAAATCAAAATCAACAAAAAACTATGAACCAGAGACACTTTTAGGGGGCGGGGGCGGGAGGGGAGGGATTGGGGTCAGAATGGGGGGCTGCAATTGTATGGGGAATATAACAATAAAATTTATAAAAAGAAAAAAAAAAAAAAAAAAAAAACCAAAATGACTAATTTGAAAGA